TACCTTTAACGTCCCTCTTGAGACACGTTTCACGCATACGCCATGCACCACTTGACGGTGGAGAGCTGCAAATCTTGTCCTATACTCGGCCCTTAGGGCCATTGAGCAGGGAGGGTCTTTTTCGCTCCAGCACCTACTGCGACACGGGACCATGGTTTATAGTCTCATCCGAAGGACTGATCTCCGCATCCGACAGTGGGATTCGAAACCGCGACGTAAGAATCAACTCCTTATTTCGCGGTTCTAGGGCAGACACTCTAACCACTGCGCCACACAGGTGACAAAATTTTCTATATAATATCATGACTTATTTTCATTCATTAGTTACAAAACATGGTCGTTATACGATAAATACCCGAAGGACAATTTACATATGTAATACAAAGTGCTGCATGAACATTTACGTGACCATGTAAAGAGGTCAGTAAATATGACATGAACTCCATGCAAATGCTAAATTTTTTCTATAGAAAAAGGATAAGTCTACCAGATAGTTATCTAACGCCAAAAATCAAACTATTTTTCAATACATTGTTTCGGCCAAAATCTTCAATTCCCTATTTCACCTACTCTTGCTTATTAGGATCTTTTACTCCCCGAATATGTCCCAATTTAAAAAGATGAGTGGCCTGTGGTTGCAATGGGAAATGTTATAATCGCGGAGTAAGAAGCCGGTCGCGATCCTTACGTAGCAGGTTCATATGAGACCGTTAGACCGAGGTCCTTTGTCGTAGTATGTGCTGGGACGAAAAAGATCCCTCGCTGCTCAAAGGCCCTAATAAGTGCCATGTCCGTGTCCAAATTTGGTACCCAACAACGCCATGTCTTGGCTCCACAATATGGAGAGAAATTTTTTGAAAGGGATGTTAAACAAAGAAAGCAAGACTTACATGGTCAATATCGCTCATTTGTGACAATAATTACATCCTTATGTCGGTTTTGACCAGTAATTGTATGTATATAAATAATTCAACTTCCACCCCCCCCTCCCCCACCAGTTTTTGGCCTACAGATGCGCACATTTTATATTAATAATTTGTAGACTTCCTTATTGCAGATATTTTTTGTAGAACATTTGTACACCAACACTGTAAATCGACCAAACTTGAATCTTCATAGATAGGGATAGCTTTCAATTATACTAATTAAATAATCCCATTTGCTTAGGTAAACGAGTTCTATAAAAACGTTTTCCCGTCCATGTGAAAAAAGTGTATATAATTAAACTAATTTAAAATCTATATTGATTTAAGAAAAGAAAATCAACTTTTTTTGCGCATGACAAAGGGATATTTCATTCCTCCAATATTAAGTCAAAAATTTATTCGTATTTTTATTGGATCTTCATCTAGTATATCAAACAATGCATTTTCATAAGTAAAAGCCTAGCATTTGCTTATTCAAGCTGTTTTTACTCAGAAACAGAGAACATTTGGATTTTCTTATATTCCTCAAATGGCAAAAGACGAATTGCTTTAAATGTTAAAAAGACGAAACTTACAATTTTAGCATTAGTATACTAATGTGTTGGAAGACAAGACACTAGAAAGACAGAGTAGTTAAGTGCAACAAAATCGTACTTTAAATGACATGAAGTTTTGCAAAGTGTCATGGTTAGTTTTGGAAGCTTTAATTCGGTCAATGTGCAGCAAAGTATATATGAAAAAATATAATATCCACGAAAATAATATTTTAGGATAATTGAGATTCAGATGTGAAACACGATGCGATCTATTTTGTGTAAGAAAGGAGTAAGTAGGGACTTATAGTATAATGAAACAAAAGTAATCTCACTTGAATATTCACAAGTAATTTTAACTATACATTACATGTGTACCATAATCATTTTTTTTAATATAAGAAGTCGATTACACCTTCGTTTTTATTTGTTAGTAAACTTATTTGATTCATTTCTGAATAATTTATAAAAACATCTAATGACAATGTGTTTATTATACAATGTTAAGTGTTTCAATGTGGAGCATGGTTAGTGAAATTTAAAATTAATCTCCACCTTTTAAATTGAATAAAAATTCTTATGTTTTTAAGTATTTTATTGCCAAGTCTTCTTTAATTTTACTAAACCACGTAATCTTGGCAAAGCAGGCCCTTGTGGATTTCTTCTAGCAAGCACAACTGCCCTACCTAAGGTGGAGGAATAACTGTCCAAATATGAAGAAGAAATCGACCCTTCTTCCTTCACTCCACTTTCTTAAAGTTTCTCAGAAAGAATTCTTATGATCTTCTTATATCCCTCTCTCTTGGCAATATCAGGTGCAGAGAGGCCGTCTTTCGACCGAATAGTCATGTCTGCTCCATACTGAAGAAGTGCATTGACGGAATTATAATAGCCACGATTGCATATTTCGTGGAGAGCAGTCCATCCACTTTCATTGAGTACACTGACGTTTGCACCATGTCGAAGGAGAAGAGGTATAACAGTGTGCATTTACCAGCATAATGTGAAATGTGATCTCCAAAACCATCATGCGAATTGACGTCTGCACCATAATCAACCAGTGCCTGTATGCACTTCTTTTTTATATAACTTCTATGCAGGGCCATCATCAGAGGCGTGGTTCCCATGTGATTGCACACATTCACGCCGGCGTTGTTTTTAAGTAGAATTGACATTAATTTAGCATTTGAGTTATTATAAGCACTTGTATGTAAAGCTCTATAACCTTCGTCATTTTCTGAGCTCATATTAGCTCCGAATTCAATGAGTAGTTTGACTATGTCTTCGTGTTGGTTTTCAACTGCTTTCATCAATAGAGTTCTTGAAACAAAACCTAACAGTTCATATTTATATTTATTTTATTTTATTTAGTTTAAATTGACACCGCGTTGTAAAAGATCTTTAAGTATTTCGTAATGACCTTCTTTGACAACAGCAGAAAGTGGAAATTTAGTTAGAGAACCATCAGCCTCTTTCGGGTTGTCTTCGGCTTTGTGCTCTAGTATAATATCCACGACTTCTTTGAAGCCGGCAGAACAAGCCAAAAAATAGAGCAGTTGTACCATAAACTTTAGTATATACATCAGCGCCACGATCCAACAAAATTAAAGTAAGGTTGAAAGATGGTTGCCCTCCAAAGTATGCATTAAAGGTGTGTAACTCTCTTCATTACCATTGTTATTGATATCAATATCATGATCCAATAAAATACTCACGATATCTAAATGGCCTCTAGAACATGCCATATCTAAAGCATTTTCTTCTCCCTCGTCTTTTTCTTCGTCTTCTTCCTCGTCATCGCATATGTTTAAGTCAGCTTCATTCTTCAGCAAAATTTTGACGACATCTATCCAGCCTCTTCTGGAGGCATTCATCAAAGAAGTGTGTCCCTCGTGGTCTTTTTCGTTTATATTTGCCCCATTTGTAATAAGCAACGCAACAGTTTTATCGTATCCAGAATAAGATGGGTACAAGAGGGGATTTCTCAAGCCCTTTCCGTAAACCTTAGCACCATGACTTATCAGTTCTTGAACAATTTCATGGTGACCAAATCTTGATGCAATAAACAATGGGTTTCCCCTGTGCTTTGTGCCTAAATTCACATTAGCATTATTTGCTAAAAGAGCTTTTACAGTTTCAAAATGTCCATGCTCTGAAGCAACAAAAAGAGCAAGAGCCCCCTAATCGCCAAGCATATTTACTTCAGCCCCATGATTTAGAAGTTCCTGCACAACATTTTTATGTCCACAACAGGCTCGCATTAATTGAGTGTTTCCAGTACCTGTAGTGAAATCAGCTTCTGCTTTGTTCTTTAGCAATTACAAAACTATATCAAGATGGCCTTTCTATGCCGCAAAATGAAGAGCGGTTTTCTCAAAAATTTTTGCTTGATCTACATTTGCTTTATTCTCCAGTAGAAACTGAACGGTTGAATAGTGGCCATTTGACGAGGCAACAGTCACGGGAGTGTCATCTTGTATTGTTTTTCAGATTTATATCCAAGCCACAGTTTAATAATTCTTCTAATATTGAGACATTTCCACGGGCGGCTGCAGAATATAAGGGACTTACCATATTCTTCTTTCGAACTACATTCACGTCCGATGTTTGCATTACATTCACCATTTAGAATAAGTGATAACATATCAGTGTGCAGGAAGTTTGCAGCAATGTGAACTGCGTATATATTCTCCTGTTTACTCCAGCATGCATTTTTGAAGTCTGTCATTTCTGTAACTTGTGCGACGAAATCTCTTCTCCCATTGACACAAAATGCACATTTCATTGGGGAATTCTTAAAATATTCAGAAAAGGTCTTATTCTCTGTCACTAGGTCGAATATAGCTAACAATAAGTTTTCTAACTTAAAAGCAATCGCAAGGGTAATTGGTGATAACTCACGACACAGTGGAATGGGGTCAAGTCTAGAGAACCCAAATAATTTCTTTTGCAAAACTGTCCCGGGAATCTGTAATCAATTGTCTTGTTTCAGTTTGAAGTAAAATCTTTTTAAATTTATCTTTAGGCTCATTCTTCAGGCGCAATTGTACATTTGTCAAGACTCCTTCATTCTGGATCAAAGGACTAAGAAATATTATCTAAATATGTGTCATTCTTATATAATACATTCCTCGATTCTTTCAACGAAAGAATCAATAAAACGGTCTTCCAGTTGAATTCTTTGAAAGACTTCGTTTTTGTTTAATGAAGATGTGGTCAACGTGGGAAAGAAACTGCTTTTGCAATATTTTAGAAACTGTTCTGGATTGTCATTACAAAATACACTAGTCAAAGCAAGCAGAAAAGAGTCATCTGTTATTTTAAAAGTTTTGTTGACTCTTTGCACAAAATAATGACCCCGGAGAGACTTTAAACATTGAAAGAGAGCAATCTTTGAGGTGTTCCTAATAATACCAATTGCTTTCAATAGATCATTAAGCATTGTGTCGTCAATATAATCTATTTCCTCGTGAAAATGAAGGTTTTGATAATTGACATTTCTTGTCTTCGTTGCATTCTTTGTTTTCGCTATGGTCAATGTCATTCTCTTCTTTACATATGTTTCTGCTTTTATTTCCCACCGCTTTGATATCAGAATATCGTCATTTTGATTTTACAGACTTCTCATATCTTTGCTTGCATTATAAAAACTGTCCTTCGTTAATTTATTTCCGTGCAAAATCAACAAGAGTAGACACAAATATTTCTCTTTGGAATTTTCTTTCAACAATTGAATCTCTCTTTTCAATTGCTCGAAGGGTTCTTTGAAAAATGTAAGTACAGTTTCCTGAAAACCTTTGCTGGTAGAAGCTATACTTGATATTAGAGGAAATGATTTTTTCGTTTTAATAAGTTGATTGGCTTCACTATCTTTAAGTTTCAAACAATCTATAGGCTTTTGTCTTCTTTTTCCTTTTTGGTCAATTTTGCTTCACCTCCGTCTAGATTGATAATAGTGAACCCATCCATGAGGAAGTCCATTTCTTTCTTTGGAAGATTTCACCTGCAAGTCACAATTACTTTTGGAAGCTTTACGTTTGCTTTTTCGTCTTTATTTCTCATAAAATACTCCTCCAATAATTGCTTCTGTAAATGCCACATTCCACAGGAATTTTATCTAAATCACTTTTCCCAATGTAATTCAAATTCATAGCAACAAAAATAAGACATAGACCATGACCTGTAAATGTATATATATCATAAAAAAGTAGAATATGGAATGTTTCCAAGAAAGATATAACAGCTGTAGAAAACGGGCAAAAAAGTGATACTTTTTAGTATTTAGTAGACTTATGCAATACCATATTAAATTATTGTGAGTGTGGGTAATCTGTTTAATGATCTTTAGGTAAGATATGTTCCAGAAATGGCAGCAGTTGACTCGATACCTGTCATGTTCGAATCAGGTGCATGTTCCCGGGACACATGAACAGGGCCGTTTCTCTCTTTTTTTCTTCATCAGTACATCATTTAAATTTAACATACATAGATTTGGTAAATGTTGCTACATTATTTATTTTTAACATGAATCATAAGTAATATTTCTTATTTTAAATGAACGATGTTTGTCGTACAGTAAAAATTGCACCTCCTGAAACACCCCTACTATTGTTATTGTGATTTAAATTCAAGACATTCAAATGTTGACCTATTCAAAGATTATAGGGTAAAACCGGTTTTATAAATAAAATTGGCAGTAAACAGGAAATTACTTTTGTCTGTTTCTTTCGAAAACATGTCCTGTGAAAAATGTTTCCAGACCTTTCTGAAAGACTTTTATGATTTTCAACAGAAAAGGGTGGCTAAAGGGGCGGGGGTTTAAATAAGAATATATATCTTATCATAGTTTACGGCAAAAATTAGAGCTCACTAGCGACCGATACGCTGGTAAAAAAATGTGTAATATCATCTACACTGACAAACTTTAATGCGCACAGTCAGCATCAATATGTTGGCCCAATGTATGTAAATGCCAACAATATCTATTTTGTTCGCCCAACGTTCCATACCAATGTTGGTTCAATGTTTAAGTGCAAAGTGGGCTCATGTTGGGCCAACGTATTGGCTTTACGTTGGCCCAACATTAGACGCCGATTGCATGGATGTTGGCCCAACCTTGGATATATGTTGGGCCTACGTACTAGGCTACAAATATTGGTCTTATGTTGGCCCAGTATGTCTTTTACATTGGCCCAATGTGTCTTTTACGTTGGCTTAGAGTTTCTTTTACATTGGCCGAGCGTTCCTCTAGCTTACATCGGCCCATTGTTTCTCTGATGTTGGCCCGATGTTATTTTCACATTTGCTCAGCGTCTTTTTACGTTGGCCCAGAGTTTGTTTTACGTTGACCCAGTGTTCTCAACCAATGACTCATATTTTTAATTTCCAATAAGTGGGAGAAATAACAAGAATAAGATAATTTGATACGGTTTACTAATAAAATCATTTAAATGAATTAAAAACACTAAATCAACAATTAAAATTAAAAACTAAATTAAAGTCAAAGGGTAATAATGATAATTCACCAGATATCAAAAAATTCAAAGTCATTTCAAGGCCATTCATCGGTTGGTCTCCTTCTATTCTGCTGCCGTTTTTTGTTTCCTCTCCTTCCTACCCCCATCCCTATCGCAAGAGTATCGTAACCATGCAGTCCTTTTCAGCATCTTCGATCTCTTTGTCTTTTGCATCTTTGCAACATCCATTCTTTCTCACAGTTACTGTCAAAATAAGATACTGTGATTTTATTTGTTATGTGAAAAAAAAATGTTTTTAATAACTTAACACTGCACACTACAGAGATCTATTTTGTAGGGTAATTTTATGTCACTAGAGTGATCTGCCCTTAGAAGTAAGATAGAAAAATATTGTTTCGGTATTTACAGGTAATTACACAATTTATGTTGGATTAAAATATTCTAAACATTATATCACACAAACTTAGATAAACTAATGTACAAATTAAAATACAAATGTGTTTTTGGTTTACTTTACAAACAATCATTTTGATGACAAGATATTTGTGAACATTAGGCTGTCAAAAGTATGAAAAAATTGTAATCTTAGTTCAATAAATTAATGTGACTTTGATGCATTACCCTTGACACATGTCTGATCTTTGACAATTAGACATATTTTTCATGTTTAACTAAATTTGTAAGTTGTCGATCCACACACAGACAAACAGACAAACCAAGATCAGTATATCTTGGGAGTATAAAATAATATTTTAAAGATATGTAAAAAAAAATACTCACACAGCAACACATCTTTCAATAATAAAAAGGAAAATGCTCTCTTAATTATCATCCCTCCCAAGCCAGTTCATTTCTTTGCAACACCGATGTCTATCATGGAACTCAAAATTCTCCGTACACTTTGTTTTGTATTGTCACCTCGAATCGTTCCCAGTTTTCTTACCTAAAAAGTACCATGTTATAACACAACTTGCCAATGTGTTTGGATTAAGAAGACTTTTGTAAGTTCATAGTTTTATTATAAAGTCACAGCAAAGGTTAAACAAACAATGGTACATGAAAAGTTCAATTATAAAGATCTCGGAGCCAAGATGGTGAAAGCTCACTTAGTCATTATGTCACATAAGTCCCAGAGCTAAGTTCGTAAAAGCTCTCATGGTCCTTCTCGGAGCTAAGATGTTAAAAGCTGTTATAGTTCATCTCGGAGCTAGGATCGTAAAAGCTATTGATACTCAGTGCGCGCATCTTTTGTACAAGAAGCTGCATCATAGGGTTCACATATTTGGTAATAGCAATTAGTTAGTTAGAGTGTCACTTCATTAATATTAACATTGTCCGCCCCTCACTGAAGCTCTGTCTCCCATCTCCTTATAGGATACGGCAATGTCCTCTGTTTACATTAACATTATGCATCTTGCACATTCTTCAGTTAATTAGATGGCTGCAGATCTGCACAAAGTGTGATTGGAAGTGTCAGTGCTCGAGAACAACACATCGTAAAAACTAATTGTCCGTCAAATGAAGACGCTCTGTTATTGTATTCTATCTCCCAGAGTTTGTAAACAAGTTCGTAATTTAAATATTATTGTCCGTCGCTCTACGCACTGATAGTATCAATTATAATTCATAACACAATATTAAAACATAGATAAATGTACTGTACAAATTAATATATCAATTAAACTTATAATTTATACGTTCATTGTGTTACCATGTGATTTTAATGCTTGATGATATTACCATAGCTCTTCAATAAATACTTCAACTTTTTTTATTCGTACTGTTTATAATGGGTCGGTTTAATGTCATATGATTATTTACAAAATTATTTACAAAATTAAAAATGTATCAGGCACAGAAATAAGAAATTATAAATGTATTTGGGAATCACACATACTTGGACTTTCCGGTTAGTATCGGAAAGACCCGAGATAGCTGCACAATTTTTCAGGACTTTTTTTTGTCTGAGACCTTATTGAAAGTACAGAATACTGGTCTAAGGGAATTAATATTATAGTATTTATAGCACCATAATTCAAAGTTTGTAGACATGGAAATAGATTTTCATGATGCACGTGTCTCTATCAACAAAGATCGCCCCCTCCCCATGTTCCCCACATGTGCGAAAATGGAGCGTTGCGCGTTTTAATGAGTTAATTATTACATATACAGTGTATATATTTTATTCATTTCTACTTTAAAGAACAAGGGTTTAGATTTATCCCACATACAAAAACCAAAAATCACATATAATGAGAAAAGAATATGCATACACGTACAGATCCAATTTGCTACATTGTAGATCAAAATCTGTTCCACTATGTTACGATCATTGATAGAAAATTTCCTTTTAAAATACTCAAGCACAAAAAAAAAAAAAACAAAACCCAGAAATACTCACATTTTGCTCTTACTGCGTCTATCCTCAAATAAAATTCAGTCCTTTGTCTTTGTTCCCTACATCTTGCGCGCGAGGAAAGCTGACCTCTATTTAACTAAAAAACTTAATTTATTGCCCTCCTGGGAGTGACATCTTTCAAAGAGTGGAATAGCACGTACAGCTGAAATGCTACATTTGCTTTACACTAAATGTGTCTTCTACAATGTTCTCGACCCACATCCAAGAATTTCTTTTAAAATTCTTAAATTGATACGTTTGTATGCAGTATTACTTTTTGGCTTTCACAAGGGAAACATTTTTTTTTTATTTGCAACAATATAAATTCGTGCATATAGCCAAGATATGCATGCATATGTATTCCCCCCTCCCCCCAATATGATATATAAACGTTAATGATATCCAATGAAACCCATGAAGATTTATTTAATATCAAAATTGCACAACATTATGATATATGTGTGTGCATGATACAGGGAGAGAAATAGAAAATCGTTGGGTATAGTATTTAACACTAACTTGGTGTAAACGTTGGGCCAATGTTGGAACAGCTGTGTTAGCCTTATAGTGTCTGTTAAGGAAATGTAATTTTTTTTACTATTAATAGTACAACAACATTTAATCAATAAATTAATAAACACATTTTTACATGATTTATGCAGTACACATTTGACACAGTGGGCCAAAGTTGGTCCAACTAAAAATGTATAGATAAAGCACTCAGAGATAAAGCCAGATAACAAAATTAATGTTATTAACTTATTATAGGATACATTTAATGTATAGTTGTATACTGATTCAGTTACACGTGTGTAGCGTTACATACTCATAAATGAGCAACCTTTTAAATTATCCTCCCAGCTGTTGCAGTATATCTTTGACAAAAATTTGCATTGGGCCAATAATGGTTCAACTACACGAGACCGACCATTTTATGCTAAGTTTGAAACATTGTGCCAGCGCTGTCTTGCCAACGCTGGCCCAATCGTTGTACACCTGCATATGTTCATTATGTTCAGTATTCAATATTGGGCCAACGTAAGTCCAACGATACAAAACCAATGTTTAAGATAGTAATTTCTGTGAAAATTACATACATTGGGCCAATGTTGGCCAAACAATGTAAAACCAATGTATGTTATCACGACAACTTATGTGAGATTAAGATACAATGGGCCAACATTGGCCCAACAACGAATAACTGACTTATGCTGATATTGCCACTAAGAGCGTAATGTCTAACATTGGCCCAATGTTGGCCCAATCATGTTATACCAACACCAACCTTGACCCAACAGACCGTTACTCTACCAACGTTGGGCCAATATATGATATTATAAGGCGGTGAAAACTAAAACGCAACATAACTTTTCACGTGCTAGTCACTTCCTAGCCACATTTCCGTGAATAATTTACCCTATCTCGCTGTAGTCTCGCTAACTCTCGCCAGAGCCACTGCCAGAGCTACTCTGATAATGATGGGTTTTATCCGGTCAATACTGATGATTTTTCCACCTTTGAATTATAATGATGACATCAGGCGCAGACTCCTCGGATATCTAACTAAAAACCACAGTGTTTGTATGAGGAAATGTCGGTACAGTAAGATTACAATCTCAAATAGAAGATCGCTCTATTATCTTTAAGAAAATGTAATAGATAGGATCTTGAAAATATTAATTATTAAAAATGAGATAAGAAAAATATTAATTATTAAAAATGAGATAAGAAATTCATGTAGAAACGACGATAAAAATGAACATATGCAACAATTTCAAACTACTGAACAATTCAATCAATAACACAAATGATACTATCATGTGACGCCACATCAATAAAAAATAAAGATATCTTTATATAGCAGTGTAGAAATATCAAACAGATGATTATCCTGGTGGAGCTCGCCATCTGATCGGTAAAGCGAAAACAGTTTAAATGGAACTAGCTGGAAGTCCTAAGGTGATCAGTGTGTACCTTGTTGTACAAACCTTAACTCTATTACAGACATGCTACTCTCAGTGCTTCGACCCAACATCTTTGATCATTTACAATTATGAAAATTCTGTACCCGATTTCAACCTTTTGACAAATGCTGAAATGGGAATGTGTAAGATGGTCTGTAACAAATTTGAGCTGTGTCTCTCTGTGGATTGGATACGTGAAAAAAAGACTTGCCGGCTAAACACAAGATTTGCCATCAAAAATGGCACTAGCCTAATGACCGAGGGCCGCATCATTCATGTTGACCGTGAAAATTTTCCAAAGGTAAGCACTGTATCAGACGCTAAGTAGCGAACATTGAAGCATTTGTATAAAGAAGATGGGGGGATAAGGCGGGCGAAGTGCCTATAGTGCGACAGATAAGAAGTGAAAATTTTAATCTCAATTAAATCCAAATTTAAATTGATATTTCATCTAGCATTGAAGTATTCTTAATGTAAAATCTCTACAATTTACAAAAATCTCACCAAATCAGACAATATTTGCCTATGAAAAAGCCTTAAGCTTACATACACTAAAAAGAACAAAAACGATCATTTTCTCATACTTTTAAAAAAAATTCAATATTGGTGGCTCTTCGCTCCATTTTTTTGAAAGATGATCCTAAAAGTTTGCAATGAAATACACATTTTTTGGTTTACAAAAACATGGAGCGAAGACCCACTATACCTTAAAAGTACACTTTTATGACACAACATTCGTATCTTTCATTAAGTTGCTTGTCATATCACAAACAAGATTTAAATGCCAAAAATCATCATGAGTGATGTAGCATAGTGGTTAACGCGTAAGTCTCAAATCACTATGCTATTGATACATCGGATTTTTATTGCGAGGGTTCGAATCCCACGAATGCCATTTGTTTATTTTAGGACAGATTTTTTTTCTTACGAGATTGTTTTTCTCACGGAAAAGTTTTTTTTCTCATAATTTCAAAAATTTCAATTAGAAGTTAATTGAAATGCTCAGTTCATATAATGAATATATTTCTTAATATCGAAGGCGATAGGCATTCTGCCCGCCTTGTTCTCCCATCTTCTTTATATTTAGTAATGCGATCTAAAATGAAACAAGTTATCACTCTAAGACGAATTATTTTCAGCACCTGGCGGCCGATTGTCCCATGCATATCTGCACCGAGGATGCAATCTGCCTTCGGGGTAACTGTGTGCCTGTTTTAAAAGGTAATATATAAGATGTTTTACTATATTTTTCAGGTGATGAATACAACATTCAAATCAAAGTTTTTTTGGAGTTCGATTTGCTTTAACGGCACTGCTTCAGACCTAAGATTTTAAAAAAATAGCTAGGGCTATTAATACCCTAAGTACCTGAGACTTGGGACGAATGCCCGAGGTCCTTGAATTAGGTCTTCAAATCTAAGGTTCTATTTTACGGAAGGCGTTGATGAGAAGCAACTCTTTCCCTGTTATAGCCAATAGGTCAAAAAAAACATCTGTAAATGAGTGAAAAGTTTTCTATGAGACAATATTTACATTTCCAATGTCTTTGTCCAAGATAAAATTACCAATTGTAAATGTAATTGATTTCCTCATGAATGTTTTGGCGCGGTTCCAAAAAAAAACACGTGCAGGGCGGGACAACACCTAGAGAGAAGTAGGCTTGGAGCCCGTGGATTGGCGGAATCAAAGCATTTAAATATAAGGAATAACTGTCGATTTTTCAAATTCATGAAGATGAAATGGATTGGCTTGTGTGTGAAAAGTGCAAATTTCAATATTGATCACTTCATGAACGAAAAATACAGTTACTTAAATCATTCAATCAACCAAACAATCAATTTTACGATGTTCTGTTAAATAAAAATCTGTCTGAGTGTGTTTATAATAATTTATGCACATTTTCTTCCATAACATAATTTGTTAGCCTCTAAGCAGAAAGGGGATGTTGTCAAACATATTAACAAAGAACATTTTGATTGGAGAGTACTGAAATTGTCCACGAATCATATTCATCTTTGTAAGGATTGTTAATATTAAGGCATAAATATTCATTATTGATTTTTTTCCCCTAACTTTACAGAAAAGGTATATAAAGACTGTTCAGATATTGTGAAAAGAGACCCAAGCAAGAAAGGACAAAATGGGGTATATGTTATTTATCCAGACACCGGCCGGAGAGAGGTTTTCTGTGACATGACGACAGATGGAGGCGGGTGGACGGTGAGTAGTTTTCATTTTTGAATATTAACAGATTGTGAATTATATCTATTCTTAGCCACTTGAACTTCAAATGTAGAAAATATAAGAGTTTCCGATGTTAAAGCTTATCATGAAAACGATTTAAACAAATTAATATCATGATGCCATCATGTCGACAGATGCAGGAGAAGTTCTGAACTAATATTGCTTACTCGATAACATTTCCTTTTATAAGCTATTTCAACGTCAAATGTAGAAAATATGAGACAGTTACAGATGTAAGAGTTTATCATGAAAACAATTTTTACACAACTTGATCTTGATGTCATTACATCTCTTCCTAAGAGTGACGAATGAAAAATGTCTTAAAACATTAGCAACTAAATAAAAAATTTCAGTCGAAAGATCACCACTTTTCTTCCTAATAACATTTTCTAAACACGATGTTATGTTAGGGGTGATTTCACCCTAACATAACATGAATAAAGTTAAATTTTAATCTGCAATTTAGAAGTGTTACCGTACTCGCGTGCAGATCTGGAGAAAAAGCAAAAGAACAACACAAGTTTTAAATTCGAAATTGGTTTTTGAAGCCTTTTACATAATGATAATGATAATTGCTTAAACAATTTTATATTACTCAAGTTTTTGTACACACTGCCATATGTAAAAAATTCTACCTTTACAGAAAAGGTATATAATCCCCCTGGGATTTTTTAATCTTAAAACAATAAATATAACAGTAAAATTTATTTAACGAAAAATTATCAAAATCCATAGGGTAGAAATGATTAAAGGCCGTCTGTTCAAATTATCAAAGACAAATTTATAATGGGTAGTGGCAGTTAGGTAAGATGTATTTATTTTCACGCAAATTGTAATTATTAAGGTCTTCCGTTTCCAACGGAAGACCTTTACTGATTCTGTTGGTAAAGATTATTAAGGTCTTCCGTCTTCACGGAAGACCTTATAGTGATTCTACTGTTTCTTATTAAGGTCTTCCGTTTCCAACGGAAGACCTTATTGTTTTCGTTCGGTTTCTTTTTCCCTATTATTATTATTTTTTTCTTACCGATTTTTGTGCACGCGAGTTCTCGAAACGGCTCGGTCGATTTTCACGAAACTTTCAGATCTGATAGATATTGGTCTGAACCTTATTGGAAATTTTTTATAAGTACGTCGTCACTTCCGTTCGTGAGATATGGACGATTTGCTGATTTTAAGAGGGTCAGCTTTCTCCGGGCAATCACTAAAAAAAGAATGAAGATATTGACTTGAGATTTTCAGTGAAGGTAGAGGAAGGATTGCTAAATTGCTTTTTTGAGTTTATATCTTTCCAGCGCAAAAGGTGTTGAAGCTTCCTGAGCTCGTTATAATTATTATTTTTCTGACCATCAAATTTTGTGCACGTGATTTCTCAAAGACTACTGGATGGATTTTTGTGAAAATTGCAGGAACAATGTGCTGGTATCTGCAGTTATAATATCCTGGAGATTTTTTGGAAATTCCTATCTGGTGCCGAGTTACGGACAATTTTCTGATTTTAAATTGACATTTTGTTCGCGGATAATCTAAAGAACGGTAATTACTGTGAAACTTTCAGGGATTATAGATCGGGATAAATACTATCCAAGACGCGATCTTTTGTACGTCGTCTCTACTTCCTGTCGTAACGACATGCAAAGAAAAAAAGTCAAATTTTTAAACTTTTTTGTTTTTCAATATTTTCAAATCATATTAGTATGGTTGATAGAAACATTTCTCATTAGGCTGAATATATAATTTGTTTGTAAATTGATGAATTCGAACTCGAGATATTAACATTCAAAAGTCTGAAGCGGGATCTTAATGGCGGCGGTCTCTGTCAATTCCGACATTTCGCAATAGGGGTTTACAGAGGCAGCTGAGCGTTTGCTTGAACGAAAGTAACATAAGGAGCAATGAAATGTGTAGGAATACTTGGATTGTCACGTCGTAGGTTCGTTGCAATTCGGTGTTAAACTACATTTATTATCCAAGGTCTACTTACAAGTCTTCTTTAATTAGTTTTGGTTGTTTCTCAAAGTAGAAATAGAAAAGAATTAATGTACAAATGAAGTACAATATCTATATCTTTTGTTTTGCATCACGGTAACACATAGCTTAAATCATATAATTAATAGTTTTTCAAGAATGTAGTAAGTAAAAAACGTGACCACTGTTTTCCCATGAACACTTGAGTCATATTAAATCACTAGAAGGGACAACTGTTACAATAAGAAAATATTTCATTTTTAAAGATAACAATTTTTCAAAGACAGTTTAATTGGCCTATATAAACATTTTATTTTCTCGATGCAAGTTATTGAACATAATGGAATCTTATTTTTAGACCCTCGTAGGGCGGTCGAGGCATTTTTTTATTCGGTGAAACATACCACCTTTTTCATGAAAGTGTAAGTAATCGGAATAGTCAACTTTCGTGATTGAAAATTGAAAAATTAACTATTCATAGCTGTTTCACTGCTTTCGTGTTATTTGCCTATATACGGTATGTTACATGTATGTGTTATACTTTCCACACCTCAAAATTTAGGCGATAAGAACGCTCTTTTGTTATTGATTGAAGCTGTCTCATCTATTTAAATGAACATTCCAAGAGAAATTCGCTAAGATTTACTCGATGCGTTTGGCGCGAAATTATGAATAGTGACCCTTCTTTCATAATTCCAAGACAGATTAAATGTTGCAGAATTATATGTACAAACAAGTGAAGTAAGAGTAGTTGTTCAAATAGTCGATAAGCGTATTGGATTTTTACTAGTGACCCGTTTCAATTACCAGTGTGTCCAAAATATGTTTCATCCATTTTCAGCCCTATTTTATGGGTTATTTTTCGGAATCGGACGGAAGACCTACTCGTTGCTCGCAACGAGATCGTTTCTAGTTATTATTATTATTCTTATTTTTTAGACAAATTTTGTGCACGCGATATCTCGAGAACTATTCGACGCTCTTTCTTCAAACTTTCAGGGATAATGCGCTCTCATATGCCATTGTTACATTTGGAAGAATTTTGGAACAAGTCGCTTCCGGTTTCAAGTTATGGCCATTTTTCTGATTTTAAAATGAAATTTTATCCGCGCCGTATCTAAAGAACGACTAAAGATATTAACTGGAGACTTGTTAGAGAATATAGGGCATCACTTGTAGATGTGTAATATCTCCTTTTCATGTGTCGTCAGTACTTCCTGTCGCCAACGGAAGCGATTTTAAAAACTCCAATTTTTCAACTTTTTTATTTTTCAACACTTTTCTTCAATATTAGTAAGGTTAATAGAGACTTTTGGAAAGATCTAATATATTATTTATTTTAAAATTGATTAACCCAGACTCTTTATATTTGCATTTAAAAATATGAAGCGGGACCAAAATGGCGACTGTCTCCGATGAGCAGATCAGAGTTTATGGGATCAGCTGAGCGTTTGGTTAAACGAAACTTATGTACCATAAGGATAATTGAAAGGTGAAGAAATTCTTGTCTTGTCACGTTGCATTTACGTTGCAATTCTGTTTCGTATTGGTTTTAATCCAAAATTTCCTCAAACGCCTACTATTGTTTTTGTCTATATCTCAAAGTAGATTACAACATGACTACAAGTGGAAATACGATTACTACTATCTTTTATTTTGTCAGACAAATGGTCTGATGAAGAAGTCAACAGAAGGGCAGATATATAGATTACATGGACATGCATATATATGGAATTGCATGGAATAAAAAGTTGAATATACATGTATATACATTTAGAGATAAAGAAAGTAAACAGCATCATCTGTTCTTCAGTAATAAATTTTCTCTACTAACAATCTCCATGACGCTCTTTATTTCAGGCAATGAGTACAAAGTAAATATCAATGATGGCTGATTGAATTGTGCGTGTATACTTGATTAATTGATTGTATGTTATTTTACGTCCCATTCCAGAATTGTTCACTCATACAGATACACTGTATCGGTCAGAGGTCAATTCAAATCATCTTTACTCGTTATTAAGGTCATTCGTCTTCACGTTCGATTTTCATGCAGGTGACCTGGGTTCAATCCCTCGTGTGTCCAAATTTTTTAAAACTTTTCTTTAGATTTTACAATTTTTTTCAGAATCGGACGGAAGACCTCTCGTTGCTCGCAACGAGATCGTTTCTAGTTATTCTTTTTTTTCTTCTGCTTCCTAGACCGCAACTTTGAGGCCTCATATCTCACTCATTTCTCAAAGGATTTCGCTCAAATTTTCAGAGATTATAGACATTTATAAACTCTATCAGAATGCTGACTAAAATTTCAAAAAGTCACTTCCGGTTTTGAGTTATTTCCCTTTAAACGAAAATTTATAGGCTTTCGTTTCCAGATAAAGGCTCAGAAACGGCTAAAGCTGGAGCAGAAATTCTACTGCTTTTAGATAACAGAAGGATTGAAGTTGTCCACATCGGATTTTGTTTTTCGATTTCTCTATTCAAAATGGCGCTATTTTTGGGGTAAAAAATTAGAACGTTTAAAAGAACCAAAAATTACTCATATTTTGCTTTTTATCTTCTAAACTAAAAATATTTTGTTAAAATATATACAAAATAATTAGTGCAGAATCAGTAGATCTTTCAAATGATATGTCAGAAAAAGGGCTGACCCCTAAATTAAGGGATCTAGAGGGGCCAAAAGTTTTTTGCAGATATCTCAAAAAGTATTGAGAATTTGTTATACATCAAAGAAGCAAAGTTGTTGAAAATGTCAAGCTTAATCTAATGGAGTAGTCAAAATATGTCCAGCGTCGTCACTTCCGGCCAAACCGGAAGTAGATGAAAAACGCGTATTTTTGCCGTTTTTGACAAGTTTTTGGTGAACATATGTCTCTGGGACCTTAAAAATTAATTTTCCATGCGTCGTCGTCACTTCCGGTTAAACCGGAAGTAGCAAAAATGGCTTAATTTTGCATTAATTAACATAGCATTGGCCAGGATTCAAAAATTAATTTTGCTTATAAATTTAATTTCTCATTTCAAAAAAAAATCAAAGCTATTTTTACTATCCGTCACAACAAGGTCACAAGAATTGACCTTCCGTTGCTTTGCAACGAGCTTTGCTCTAGTTTATTCATGATTTTGTGCAATTAGTTCAAAATTCAACAGTTAAAATATTTTTAAATCATTAGTCAATTCTAAATGAATACCAAGTCATGGACCAGACGTTAATTTAAATATTATAAAATTCTCATTAATTTGATGTTATTAAAGTGACATAATTAATATTTGATATTTGTTTCGCAGTCACTGTAAAGTTTGAAACGTTACGTCACGATTGAACTCAAGGTATAGGTCAAACAATAACGCTATTGTTACATATTTGTTTGATGTGGTCACTCATTTTTTAAATGTAAGTATTTCATGAAAGTTCCTATTACCAACAATCCTCACCTTTTCAAATTTTATGGCCAAGGTTGAAATTTTTTAAATATCAAGAAATAAATCATCAATTACAGAAAAAAAGAACATCGCAAAATATGCGCTATCGGTTGGATATTAAAATATTTAAACTATATGAGCAAATATTATATAAAAATAGAAACCATGTTCAATATAATTTGATTTCTTTAAATTATCGCAAACTGAAATTCATTATGTTTTCATTGGAAAAACATAAAAGTAAAAAGCGAAGAGCAAAATTTTTTAGTAATGTCAAATTGATACATAATTTATTTAAAAATATTAATACAGAGAGTCTTCTGTTGGACTAATGAAAGTTTTCATTTTAAAAACACAAGCTCGGCACAGTCATTATAAGCGCTAGCTGGAGAAAAAAAATACATGACCAGGTATATATGAAATATCAAAATGAAAATAATAACTATAATTTGTTTGTTTGAAATCCAATTTCATTTATGTACGAGTTTGTTGAAATATATCCCCAAGGTCAAATCTTTTACCCAGTTATCGGGTATAAAATAAGTCTTTACTTAGGAATAAAAAGAAAAAAAGAAGTCTCCAGCTTATACCTGTTCAGTTACTTGTATCTGGGTGTTTAAATTGATACCCACATCTCTTTTGAGTTATGCAATGTTATACTATGTTCAAGGTATTTTTCTTGTAGTGGCATGAAAGTGTGAAAAGCGGAAAAAAGATAAAATCTAATCTTTAATTAGATTTGAGACAATGTGAAATTTGCATCCTGTCAAAAATTGATTCTTTCATCACATGATACCATGAAAAGAAAAAAAAAAACATTATGCATTTATTTAATAATTGATAATGTATATTTTCTGTATTTTTTTAAAAACGACAAGGTAAAGTCGTGACAACAAAAATCTCTTTAAAATAATCCATAAACAGCAATTTTTAAATCGACATTCAAAATGATTTTATCTATTTTCACATTTTCTTTAATTTTCGTCAGCATAACACTGTGTTAAATAGCTGGAAATTAGGTTATTTAAAAAGGAATTTGCGATCCCATGTTGCAGAAATAATTGGAAGCTCCACCATTTTGCCCTTTTGTATGTATTGCTGAAATCGGATATCATAAATATGATAATGGTGAAAGACAGGTTCCCCCTGTGAAAAAAAAATGTAAAAAATTGAAATATTCGTTACCATTAGATGGTCCATCAAAATTTTCAATATTTTATCATTATAAACTAAACTTTATTTAAGTAAAGGTGCATTGCAGTGATTGTAGATTAGAGAGAGAGAGAGAGACCCTTTGAGAATGTGTGTGTGTGTTAAATAATTTTTAGAATATTCCCATTCGTCCATAAATTTTAGTGTGTATGATCATTTTTTAATGGATTGATGAAATTTAAAAATCGTGTAACACAAATTTAATAAAATCTGTTTTTAAAAAACATTTTTAAATCATAAAAACGCTTTGTATTTATGTTTAAGTATTGAGAGAGATGAGAGAGAGAGAAATTGTGTGTGTGTGTTGGGGGGGGGGGGGGGGAACAGTTCATTCAACAAATCGATGAAAAAGGTATTAATGGTTATTTGAATCAAGACATGAAGTAGTTTCACATTCATTAATTAAATTCTTTTACTTCTTTCATTGGGTTATGAATTAAGTATTTTAAACCCAAATTATACAATAATGCATCCAAAATCTTTTAATAAAATTTAACATTAATTGGGTTTAAAATTTTATGTTCTGAAAATTTGTACAAAGTACATGTACGGTGATAATTATAGAATTATTTTGACTTCTTCCATGGAAAGTCCAATATCGAATGAGTGTATATTTAGTAGGCAAGTCACCATAGTCGGGTATATACTGTCCATGACAGTATATCTAGTTCTTTTTTGATTCGACAACATGCCTTAAAAATCATTTAAAACAATTTGCAGTCGTTAGTATGTATTAGGGTATATAAAGAGAGGAAGTATCGGTATTTTTGTTGTTACTCTATATATAGCATCGTTTTTAAAAGTGAGGGGTGGGGCAGCCAGAAAAAAAATGCTTATCTGAAAAGAAAAATTGACATGCAAAAGATATAATTTTTTTTCACCAAAACTCGAAATCCATTTCTTGAAGGGGGGGGGGGGGGTATTCGAATTGGGAAGACCAACTTTTTTAAAATAATAACTTCTTTTGGTATCTTTTTTTTATGCAACACATGTACTACATTACCCTTATTTTACTTTACTGAAGGGGGGGGGGGAGAGCTTTTCAATGAACATTTCAATAGTTAAAGTTATGTTTGAAAAAAGTAGGAAGGCCATCCCTCCCTGTTTCATGCGTTCCTGGTTACTACATTCCTACGGAGTTTATTCAATAATAGATTTGCTATTGTAAAGTATATATATATATAAAAACTGCACACCGGTACACAAATATACATGTATGTCCTCGCCCCACCCACATCCCTATATTATCATTAATAATCTACACAGTACTTATATTGATCATACATAAAAATCACAGCAAGGCCTATCTTTAAATCCCTGATGTTCAAACTATATGATGCTACACTCAAAGTAAGTATGCGTGGACGAGGCACAAAACACAGTTTAAGGCAGTCTTGTTCACCCCCTCCCCCCCATCTAAAAGAGAGGCAATAGCCCCCGGTGAGGCCCCCGCCCCTACGTTACTAATTCTTGAACTTCAAATAAACAGGGTTTAGGTTTTAATTAGGAATATTTCTCCCTTACCTATAGATTCTCAGCAAATTGTACAAAAGGTTGAAGGTCAAGTTTTATTTTTGTACATAATTTGGAATTTTTTTTATGCAGGGGGTACCTATGATTCTCTGCAAATTGCGCAAAAGGTTGAAGGTCATGTTTTATTTTTATACATAATATGGATTTTTTTTTTATGTAGCGGGAACTATCTCGTTCTTTGATTGGTCAATCAAATTTTGCACGAGATCTTTACATTAAGTCATTAGACTTTAGTTGTCAAAAATGGCGCTATCAAAAGAAGTTCAAAATGCAGCTGATGAGATTGATTTGAAGATTCACTATATGTACTACAATGAAAGTCGAGTCTCGCCTATTTCAATAGAATTTACTGAGCTGATGTCTCTTGGATACATCGGACTGGAAGCAGTCATACAGTCCCAGATAAAATACATCAGCCGAATGCCGATGCTAAGAATGTCATACAAGGACAAAGAGGGAGATTATGTGGATATTTCTCCAGCTAATTTCTCAAAATTCCTCAGGACCGTGCGCACATCAGGTTCAGACGAAATCCCTGTCGTTAATATTAAAGTATCCGAAGGAACGTCGATGGGACATTTCCAGTCGTTAAATAATCCTCGATCCGGAGAAACGGTAGCTCGAAAGGAGTTGAATTTCCAGACACCCACATTTACTAAAAGCACCTATAATCAGAGTGATGAATTTCTCGATTTTTACACCTACCGATCGCCAATCGAACAGTCCATAAAAGATCTTAACAATTACATGGAAGAATTGGAGACAGAAGTAGAAAGTGCAAAGGATTACGCATTGAGTATGCAAGAAAAATACTGTACAGCCCCACAAAATATCGGAAACTTTACCGGTAAGCAATGCGGAAATTGCCATCTGCGACTTGACCACAATGCAAGACAGTGCGCTATTGAAAAATGTGTGACAAGTCAGCAATGCGGTGATGTAAGTAAACATCCGGAAGAGAAATCAATTGTTGAAAGTTCAAATGAGCACCTCAAACGACTTGAGAAAAATTTGAGAGATAAAAAGTTAGAGCAGGAGACAAAAGTGAAGGCAACTGACTCTGTTAAAAACTCTTTCAGTCAGAAAATTAGGGGATATCTAATTAACAGCGACAAAGGAAAATATTTACTAAAAACTGCAAACGGGCAATACGTACCAAGATCCGGCATTGTCAACATTGATACGGCAAAACTTGAGAAACATTTTCACGGAAAGATGCCAGATAACTTGGAGCAAATATCGCACACGTTTCCTACAATAATAAAAAATTTTGACGGCGGACGTTTCAGACCTCGGAATATTAACATAGGAAATCCAGCTCGGCCAATTCTGGAGGCGAACTCCGTGCGGTTTCCTGCGGCATTAGGAAGGCCCCCAAGTCCAAACGAACCATGTCCCTGGGGTGAGTTAATGTTTTAATTACATAATTTTAATCATGTCACTTTAATGTTAAGAAAAAAAATCCCGATCTTTTATATTTACCACTTTATAATTTCTAGTTTTTTTTATATTGCAGATGAATCCGTGCCACCTAAGAAAAGGCGTTAAATGTACATTGAAAACGTGTAATTAAATGGTTATGTCCAACTTTTTTCTTGTTTATCATTGTCTGTCACGAAAAACCAATCAGGGATAAGGAGAAACTACCAATCATTTAGCTTGCGTCTAAGGCGGGTACTATTTACCTTGAGCGAGCTGTCAAATTAGATCGTGACGTAACGTGAAACTTTACAGTCGACTGCGAACAATAATAAAAGATGTGTTAGCTATAAAATTTTAAGAAGTTAATTAACTTATATTGGTGAATATTGGCACTGGTACAAATGTATTCACAAGCTCGTGCATTCCGAGAGCCAAATCGTGCCAATATCCACGAATATATAAGTTAAATATTACTTAAATATTATTGTTTACCATTTCATTCAGAAACATGGGATATTGGCCTTGATTTTTATCAGGATCATGGTAGAGTATAAAAATGGATTATGACAATTATCTAAAAATTATTGGAAGGTATGTTCTTTATGCAGAGATAATTCATTTGTATTGTATCTATTAACTAATAAGGATTTGTTATATATCCTTTGCATAAATTACTGTTGATTTCACACTTTCATCAATTTGAATTTTTAACTACACCTTTTTATTATTTGTATTCTTATATAAGTGTTTGATTTGCATTATAACAATGCGCAGTACAGTTAAGGCGCGCAATGGAAATATCGGCTAAATTTTGTATTTTAAAAATGAATTCGTTATCGGGATGGCGATTATTTTTAGTACATTATTTATATCGGATAATTGGATTAATAACTACATATCAAGGACAATTATATTTTATATTTAGAATAGTCACGTGACGCGGCAGTCACGCGATTCTAGCACATTGACTTGAAGTATTGATGTTACATATAAATATCACTAGTGCAAGGGCATAACCGAGGTAAATTTCCAAGTTTAGTATATAAATATTTTCAAAAAGCATTGTAGTTTCTAAAAAGTGCTGCGATCCTGTCTAAATTCTGCACTTTCTTTGTTAAAATTAAACTTGTATGACCGAATACTGTATTTTTTGATGGTCAGCGGCATGAAATATTGATATAATTAAATTGTTTTTAAGATTTCATCAGGATCGCAGCACTTTTCAGATACCTTATTAGTTCTATAGTTGAAATGTAAAAGCTTACTTTGATCCATAGAGTGTATGCCCTTGCACTAGATCGATTTATAAAGACCCCCCACATTACCCTCCGATGTACTTGCATACAAATATACGGCAGTGTTAATTAAATACGTAATGTACAGAAAATATATTAATAAAATAGCGAAGAAGACATTAAATATATCCCATGGAATATCTGTAAATAATATTTTATTTAATTAGAGAATACATATTTTGTTGAGAAAATATTACTTGATCTGTCTCTCACTGCATACAAACTACGTCACGTTGTAAGAAATGACGTCATATTGACAAGTGTATTGCGATCAGTGACTTGTTTATAACTTGTTATGTTGGATTTAACTAACGACAAAACAACACGCTGTAGTAAGTTTTTATGTAGTTTGATGATTTCTTACTGGTTAAAGTAGCAGATAAACTCATTTTGTGGTATTTTAAAGAAATGTTGTATGACGTATATTGTGTATGATGTCATAGTAAAGTTTTGCAAATTAGGCTCCGCCTCCTTTTTGTAACCTTAACTGTGCTGCGTAGGAAACGATGTGATTCATGCTTTAACTAAAAATGGGAACCAGACACTACGGATTGAGCTTCAGCGTTTTAATAGAGAGAAGTCTTTTGCTCAATATTCCACGTTTTCCCTCGGAAGTGAGGACACTTTCTTTAAACTAAATGTGTCCGGATATTCCGGAACAGCGGGTAACTAAATACATATTTTCTTTTTTTTTTTGAAATGCATCGGTTAAATTTTAGTTTTAGTTTGGATTGGACATATTAAGCCCATATTAGAAACATTTATTTAAAAAAAAAAACCTGTACCGGCCAAGTGGAAGAGTGCTTGCTTTGTAGTCGGTAGGTACCGGTATGATTCTCGTCTCCGACTACATGTCAAACCTAACAAGTAATCATAGTTCGTGTCTGTTCCTTTGCCAAGTACCCGGTACTGAAACATACTATTTCTTTTAGTGATATCCGGCTTTAGACAAAAAGTACTTTGAAATTAATATTCATAAGAATTTAAAATAATATTACAAAGAATTTTGATGGATATGGGAATGAGTATTCATGTATGAATATATTTCTCTTTTTGGCAATGCAACTTATTCCTCAGATCAAAAAATGAAGATTAATACTTGCCATCTGTCATGTTATCCTGTTACAGGTGACAGTTTGGGCAACTATCACAATAAAAAGAGATTTTCTACTAAAGACAACGAAGCTGCCTATAATGGGAGACGCTGTGCAACAGAACGCCATGGTGCTTGGTGGTACTATTGGTGTAGTCTTTCAAATCTTAACGCGAAATATAGAGTCTCTGCAGATGACAGAGGACCAGAATACATGGTGTGGAATTCCTGGACAGGAGGCGAACCACTTAAAGAGTCAATTATGATGATCAGAGAAACTCAATAATTCATATATCGTCTTTCTCACACAGTAATAACTTACCGCTGAACATATCTTATTTATAACAAGAATATTTCAAAAAATTGTATAATGTGTATCGCGTTGAAATATTTGTCTTGTCTTGTAAATTATTAGCAGTACTGGATTTCGTTTGAAATTCAATATTCACAATGTGCTAGCTGTCTTGCAGAACTTTTATTTTGCTTGGTAGAATATGACGAAGGAAGCTTAACCCAATGACTTTGATATTTTACTTACAGAAAATAAAAAAATAAGAGTTAATGCATTCTTTTACATACCACAATGGTACCCACTGTTACAATTGAAAAACTTTAAACAAGGGAAAATTAAATAATATGTTAAAGAACGCTTCTTCACGTCAAAGCTTGGCCTCACTTTGGAGTACTTTGTTTAACAATTTCAACCCTTCTCAATTTTTTTATCCTTAAATTAATCATCTAAAAATTAAACTTTTTTTGGCACAAGTCGCAAGTTCTATTTGTTTTATCATCTGCATTTATTACATGTACCTGAAATATGCATAAAAGGAAAGTATTCATCTCATTTACCGTCAAAAGACGATACGGATTTATAGGCAGTTTCATAAACGTTTGGATTTATAAAGTGAGGGAATCGGTGTAAACAAATTTAATTATTAAATTTATAAGGAATGCATTAAATGTATAAATTCTTTCTCTCAGTCTGGAAAATTAACACAATGCATTTCGTAATACATGCCACTTCTGTTTCTTCACCAACAACAAATTAAGATATGAATAATTTTTTTAAAAATTGGATGGCATAAATGATAAAACTCTCTGCAAAACCTTCTTTTACTCCTTCATGTCTTCTACAAAAAATAAAATCTGATTTAAAATCTAGCTTAAAATGATTGCAAGTTGTATTCAGTGTTAGCACAATAAAAACTACTGCATGTATATCATTTAACATTTATGCAGTGTTCAATATGAGCACATTTTGAAAAGTTTACACAGCGCAATTTTAAGGAAGCCTGTTTTATAAAACAATTTATTGTATTTTTAGCTCACCTGAGCCGAAGGCATTAATTATCCATTGGAATAAATACATCAGATTTTTTTTAAACTCTCCTTTAAGGACCACAAAGCCATGATTGGCCATATCTTGTCCAAGTCATGAACGGGCAGAAGGGGTTGAGTAGGGTGGGCCACAATTGGGGATCCAAGTTTTGCCCATATCAAGGAAATTTTTTTCCCCAAGAACAGAAAGGCCATGTTTAATCATATTGATATGGAGACATTCTAAGGTAGTACAAAGTCATATTGTTCAAGCTTGAGGGCTCCCAGTTGTAGGGCTGGGCAACTATTTGGGGGAGGGGTCAAATAAATAAATAGGAAAAAATCATCTGCTCAAAAACAGCAAAGTCATTTCTTGAATGGAAGGATCGTCAGGTAGTTGGTAGTTTAAAATTCCAGCCCCCCATGTGAACTTCTCAATTCTCAATACTGAAGTGATTTCTGCTTTATTTAATAGCCAATGTGCTAGGTTGAGCGATATGGCCCATGGGCCTCCTTTTTTGTTATTTTCACAATCTACGTCAATCAATTACGGTACGGTAAATATTATTGTTTAAATGGGGTAGGGGTGGTGTAAATTACCTTGACATTTTCTTTCTTAAAAAATATTTCTTTTTTAAATCAATGGAAAACAAGATGTGTTTGTGAAATACTGTTTCCCCTATATATCAGTTGATGGCAAAGGTTAATTTTTCTCAAATGAAAGACAAACTAAAAGGTCAATAGATCAATAATGTTATTACACAAAGTTATGACTAGTGTCAATTGATATCCCTGATAAATATAAAAGTCAAACACTAATCATTCAAAAATTCTTTTTAGTTGTCATGTTTCTAAAAGTGTTTCAAACTCCAAGATCAAAGTATAAAAATTGATGGGACCCAAGAGAATCAAGGAATGGCACAGACGCAACAAATGAAGAAAGAAATAGCAATGAACTTGAAACTTTGTAACAGCATTACACTACACCAGTAAGTGCTTAGCGCTGCACTTAGCACTTAAAAATGACCACTGGTCTAGTACTTTTCTTAACAAGACTTTTTGCATTGAGACTAAAACAGTCGGAGTGGTAGCATTTGGAAAATATTTAAGAGAAATGTTTATTTTTAGCAATACATTTAATGGAACACCGTTCATCAAAATCAAAAACCGATATATAAAATAATGTGTCTCCTGTAGTCTACAGTGAGGTGCCAAAATTGATGCAACTTTTCCCTGACGTCATTGTTTCAAAACAAACTTTCTTGCATTTTCAAACCATCATAATTCAAAAACTATAAAAGGTATTTACTTGAAATTTTCAGTATTTAGTGATGTGACCTTTAGCAGTAATTACAGCATGTAATCTTCTTGGAATTGTGCGGTATAAGTTTCTAATATAAGGGACAGTTAGAGAGGACCAAATGTTCATAACTTCAGAGATCAAATCA